CCTCATAAAACGAGTTTGGAAGTATTCCATCTTTTAAAATTTTTGGAGGATTTCAAGAAAGATTGGCATTAATCTTTCCTTAGCTGTTTGGTAGAATTCCCTTATGAAACCATCTGGTCCTGAGCTTTACTTTGTTGGGAGGTATTTTGTTTTTGTTTTTTTGAGATGGAGTCTTGCTCTGTCACCCAGGCTGGAGTGCAGTGGCTCGTTCTCAGCTCACTGCAACCTCAGCATCCTGGGTTCAAGGGATTCTCCTGCCTCAGCCTCCAGAGTAGCTGGGATTACAGGCGCCCGCCACCACGCCCAGCTAATTTCTGTATTTTTAGTAGAGACGAGGTTTCACAGTGTTGGCCAGGCTAGTCTGGAACTCCTGACCTCAACAGATCCACCTGCCTCGGCCTCCCAAAGTGCTGATATTACAGGCGTGAGCCACCATGCCCAGTGTGTTGGGAGGTTTTTGATTACTGATTCAATGTCCTTACTAGTTATGAATCTGTTCAGATTTTCTATTTTTTTCATGATTCAGTTTTAGTAGGTTATACGTTTATAAGAATTTATCCATTTCTTCCAGGTTTTCCAATTTGTTGGTATATAATTATTCTTAGTAGTCTCTTATAATCCTTTTTATTTCCACGGCCAGGCTGCTAGCCTTGATGTGAGTATTTGCAGCAGCAGTGGTGGCAGTATGGCTTGGTGGGGGTGAGGAGCCCCCACTGAGACTGTGTGCATGTCCCTGCAGGTGGTGGTTATAGTGTGGAGGTGGGAGCATTGGTGGGTGCAGGACTGTGTGTGCCCTCTGTGCACGTTCACGCTGACAGCAGTGGCTGCTCAAGGCTAGGGGGTAGTCTACTGTCTTCCATGCCTAGTTTTGCTCTGGTGGCCCAGGCTCAGAGGCAGGGTGCTGACAGTGGGGGCTGAGGGGCTCTGTGCCCACCAATGTCCTGAAGACAATGGCGGTGTGGTGGGGTGGGGGGTGTGGGGAGGAGGTGCACTCACTCTAGCAGCAGTGGCAAGACAGGGTGCAGGTGTACCATTGTGCTGGCGGGGAATAGCAGGCTAGGTCTGCCTGGGCATATATGTACCAGCATCGTGATGTGGAGGGTGGCCATGGGTGCAAACGAGCTGTTATGTGTTTTCAGAGGCCACTCTGCTGGAGCACTCTGCCAGTCAGGTGTGGTCCACCAGCTGTAATGTGGGCCCCAAGAGGCACCTGGCAGCTGTGGCCAGGCTGGGGCCCCACAGGAGGCCAGCAGACTGAGAGGTGCTCAGGTTGGACTAGTCCTGTCTCATGGGTAAGACTGCCCTGCAGAGTTCAGGTCCAAAAGTTCCCCTAGGGCTAAATTATCCTATGCAAGCAATTCTAGTCTAGGGGGATGCACATCTCAGACAGTGCTCCACTACAGTTGCTCCCACGGGGCACCCTCTGTGCTCTGCCCGTGACTGCAGTTCTACCACTTCTCTAAGTAGCTTTCCCTGCCAACTCAAGTGTCCATGGTGGTCTAGGGTCTCCTCTTGCTGAGATTCCAAAGGCCCATGGTGAGAGTGGGCCTGTTAAACTCATCCCCTCTGTAGGAGTCACTGGGGGCCAGGAACACGTTCCGGTGTGCACTAGCCCTAGGAGGGGTTCCTAGCTTCCTCCCCCTTCAGCCCACCCTCTGTATTTTCCCTCCTCCTGTTCTGCCTCTGCCTAAAGCAACTGGATAAGAACATGGCAGCACTGGGATGTGAACTCATTTTTGCCTAGCTCCAAAGGCCTTGCTCATTCATGCAGACTCTCAGAAATAAAAAATAATTTCCTTCATCTTTGTTAAATCACATATTCCTACAATCAAATTCTCCAAAGCTTTTGTGAAACCTATGTGATGCTGTAATCCAATTGATTACTACAGTATTTGTGGAATATACCATTCATAGCTTTAGGCTACACAGGAACAATTATATATCAAGCTCTCTTGAATTCTCTCTCTTTCTAAAACCTATGGATTTGAAGTCAGGATGTTTTCAGAAGTCCAACTGGTATTAAAAATCCAAATAGGTCAAACATTGTTTCTGTTTATATCTGTGTGACAAGTAATACCACTGTGTGTAATTACAACATGGAGAAATCCACATAGTTTCTCTGAGGAAAGTTTATTTCACTGGAAGTAGCCATTACCAAGAAGCAACAGAAACCCTAACCAGTGGCTCTTATTTTGCAATTACAGTTTTTCATCTTAAGGTTAGTATATGTGCAGCCAAAGCAAGCACTACTTTTTCATGTTAAGCAATGGCTAAGATTGTGTGTGATATAGGTGAAGGCTATCACCAGATAAACACCATCAAAAAGTTATGTTTTTATAGTGTATTTCTGTTGTGATATTTTTCGTATCCTTCTTCCTTTACAACTCCCTCCTTCTCTTCCACAAATACAGGTTTTGTATTAATTCTGTGATGCCTGAGGCATTAGGTACTCCAATAAGTAATCCTTTAAGTCTCACCAGAATTTGAGTTTGATTATATGGTGTCCATTGTGTAGGTGAGGATACATCCTCCGTGAAGTGCAAGGTCACATAACCAAATGTGGAAAAGTAGGTCTGTCTCTTGCTGAAAGGAAGTGAACATCGAATGCTGCTGCATGAAGCCCAAGGCTTCAGTGGAGAACCTCAGAAACCAGATAACTCTGAGCCATAAGGCATGGTATTGGCCTCTCAGAAGTCATAATAAATAAGTATGGGAATTTCCCTTATTTTGAAGGCATTAATGACTTATTTCTCTAGGATACTGACGTAAGTTATTCAGTGGAAGACAACTGGAAAATGAGGGTCCTTGTCTACAGATATAAGATCTTAATAAAAGTAATCATGAAATTGACCTTGATGGGGAGAGCACTGAAACAGGATGAGCACTGAAACAGGGAGAGCACTGAAACAGGGGAGAGCACTGAAACATGGCCTGAGTGAAGTCCTAACAGTAGAGAGGATTATGTACAAAGACACAAGAAACACACAGAGGTAAGAAAAAGAATATTAACTGGAGTGTGGAATGCAGGAGCATGTACGTGTATGTGTATGCATGTGTGTGAGTATTTATGTACCTAGATAAGTTTAGATGAGCCTGGAGAATTAACAAGCCGTGCTTGTATTTTGCAAAAATACACTCAAGAAGAGACACGGGTTGGAAACCGTTGCAGAAATACAATAAGAGATAGTGGTGACATGAACCTAAGTTTATGATGATGAATTTGAAGAGAAATTCTAGGCCTTGGCTTAGAAAACAACATAAAAAAAGACTTGTTTTTTTTCAGGAACACAAGGCCCACAGACAAACTTCACTAGAAACAGAATTTGCACATAGACAGATGTATATATCACTGCTGACTTGGATGAAATATATGCATATATGTCCATTTACAGATGGACTCTTTCATCACTGAAAGAAAAAGTGCACTTCAGATCTACACTACAAATATATTTACCTAGAAATTTACCTATACCAGATTTTTTTTATACTTTAAGTTCTTTAAGTTCTAGGGTACATGTACACAACGTGCAGGTTTGTTACATATGTATACCTGTGTCATGTTGGTGTGCTGTACCCATTAACTTGTCATTTACATTAGGTATATCTCCTAATGCTATCTCTCCCCCCTCCCTCCACCCCACGACAGGCCCCGGTGTGTGATGTTCCCCCTCCTGTGTCCAAGCGTTCTCACTGTTCAGTTCCCACCTATGAGTGAGAACATGCGGTGCTTGGTTTTCTGCTCTTGCGATAGTTTGCTGAGAATGATGGTTTCCAGCTTCATCCATGTCCCTACAAAGGACATGAACTCATCCTTTTTTATGGCTGCATAGTATTCCATGGTATATATGTGCCGCATTTTCTTAATCCAGTCTATCATTGATGGACATTTGGGTTGGTTTCAAGTCTTTGCTATTGTGAACAGTGCCACAATAAACATAAGTGTGCATGTGTCTTTATAGCAGCATGATTTATAATCCTTTGGGTATATACCCAGTAATGGGATGGCTGGGTCAAATGATATACCAGACAGTTTTACCTGCTATGTCTGAAAGGTAAAGTGTTGCTTAATTTATTTTTTAAACTTATGAATGCATTTTAAACTGCTATTAATGGAATGAAAATTATTTGAACTTGAACAGATATGTAAGGCTATTTGATGTTGCTTGGTAGCTTTTTCTCATACAGATCCTGTTTTGCACATGAGATTTGCCAGGGAGTTGAAGCTAACTCCAATTCTGCACATGGTTATATGATTTGGTAATAGTCTTTTGTTGTGAAGGTTTATGAACATGGTGAAATACATACGTTCTATTGAGAGATATGATAAAATGGCATAACTCAAGTTTCAACTATGATTTTGATAAATAGTTTTCAAACTTGTTTTGGGGGGTTGATGGAATCCCAAAGGGGAAGATAACAATTTTACTATTAAAAAGTGTTAACATTATTTTGGCTATAGTCTCCAATTTTTGGTTAACAAAATAATTGTCATAATAATTATTTCATTAGAATTTTCATATAAGAAGAGTTACAGAATTCTAATTTACTCAGCACATTTTGTTTGTTTGTTTGTTTGTTTTTTGAGACAGGGTCTTGCTCTGTCTCCCAGACTGCAGTGTGGTGGCATGAAGCCAACCTCCCACCTCAGCCCCCCAGGTAGCTGGAACTACACGTGCATGCCACCATGCCTGGCTAATTTTTGCATTTTTTGTAGAGACCAGGTTTCAGCATGTTGCCCAGGCTGCTCTTGAACTCCTGGGCTCAACCAATCCATCCATCTGGGCCTCCCAAAGTGGGGCGGGATTATAGGTGTGAGTCAATGCAGTTGACCCCATTTCTCTTTCTAAGATTAATTCTGCTTTTGTTTCTGGTTGTATGTATTTTTACAAGTAATTGAAATGATGACGTAATATTCACAATGCTTCAAAATGTGAAAAAAGTATATGTGAATATTAATCACATAATTGATAAAATATATGAAATAATGAAGTCAAAGCAGGTCATTAAGAAATCTTTATAAACATTAGGTAGTGAAGTTACAGATGTTGCCATCATTGTACATTCACGGGGCTAGTCATCATAAATTCTGATTGATGTTTAAAATGAGAGCAAGAAATACCCAATTAAGTAGTAAATTGAAAACCATCTAATCTTCTTCCGATGCATCTGTGACGTCTTCTTCGTACTTGTAAACTTGCATTGCACGTTGAATAGGAGTCTTAACAGAGTCATAAGTCCATCCATTCCTGGCAAACAGCCTTTGAATGATGCCAGGCATTTCGTAGCCCTTGCTTAATATAAAATCCTTAAAGGCAATTGGTCCATAAAGACCGTCAAGAATGTCGGGTTCATCAGGCTTTTCAAGTAGGAGCTTGGGGTCATTCAACGGTTCATCACTTCTTAGCTTTTGTCCCAACTTAGGCTTGAGGTACCATGCTCCATATCCCATGTTCACATGCTCTGCACTATAAGAATTCGATGCAGTGTGGATTTTCCCGTCCAAGTCTTTTTTCTGTGAGAAGAATTTGACCTCATCCATGTCATCTAGCTCCATGCTGCACTTCAGCCCTGAGGAACACTCATTTACCGTCTTAAACTTTTGGTCTTGATAGTCTGCTTTGCACTCAGGGGTAAAGTCAAACAGACTGCTGATGGATTCTTCATCAACTCCCAGGTCTCCTGCCCACTTGAAGTCACGGAGTTTTCTCGATGTGTATCTATGTTGAAGAGAGTCAGAAACACACTCCGTTGTGTTTGGTGTATCTTCCTGAAACAGTTCTTTTAGATGGGATACTCCAGTCTTGGTAGTCTCTGGGCAGAGACTGGACACTCGACGAGTCTTGAGAGGCTCCAGGCGGAGACTGGACACTCGACGAGTCCTGGGAGGCTCCGGGCGGAAACTGGACACCCGACGAGTCTTGGGAGGCTCTGGGCGGAGTTTGGACACCCGACGAGTCTTGGGAGGCACCAGTGGGAGATGGGACACCCGACTCTCGAAAGGCCGCGGGTTGGATTCCCCACAAAGGTATTTACTAGGCTCGGTGGGTTCCTCGGTTGTTGTCTCCCGACCCTCGCAACGAGCCCATGTGTCTTCCGGCTTCCTCTCAGAATCCACTTTCAGGACCTGTAGTAGGAAACTGGACACCCGACGAGTGTTGGGAGTTTCCGGGCTGAGATGGGATACTCCAGTCTCGGGAGGCTCCGGGCAGAGATGAGATACGTGAGTCTCGGGAGACTCCGGACAGAGATGGGACACTCCAGTTTCAGGAGGCTCTGGGCGGAGACTGGACACCGGAGTCTTGGGAGGCTCTGGGCGGAGATGGGACACTCCAGTCTCAGAAGGCTCCGGGCGGAGATGGGACACTCTAGTTTCGGGAGGCTCCGGGCGGACACTGGACACCTGAGTCTTGGGAGGCTCTGGGCGGAGATGGGACGCTCCAGTCTCAAGAGGCTCTGGGTGGAGACTGGACACCCGAGTCTTGGGAGACTCTGGGCAGGGATGGGACACTCCATTCTCGGGAGGCTCCAGGTGGAGACTGTACATCGGAGTCTTGGGAGGCTCTGGGCGGAGATGGGACGCTCCAGTTTCAGGAGACTCTGGGCAGAGATGAGATACGCGTATCTTGGGGGGCTCCGGGCAGAGATGGGACACTCCAGTGTCTGGAGGCTCCAGGCGGAGATGAGATACGCAAGTTTCTGGAGGCTCCGGGCGGAGATCGGACACTCCAGTCTCAGGAGGCTCTGGGCGGAGACGGGACACCCGAGTCTTGGGAGGCTCTGGGCGGAGACGGGACGCTCCAGTCTCAGGAGGCTCTGGGCGGAGACGGGACACCCGAGTCTTGGGAGGCTCTGGGCGGAGATGGGACGCTCCAGTCTCAGGAGGCTCCCGGCGGAGACTGGACACCCGAGTCTTGGGAGGCCCTGGGCGGAGATGGGACACTCCAGTGTTAGGAGGCTCCCGGCGGAGACTGGACACCCGAGTCTTGGGAGGCTCTGGGCGGAGATGGGACGCTCCAGTCTCAGGAGGCTCCCGGCGGAGACTGGACACCCGAGTCTTGGGAGGCTCTGGGCGGAGATGGGACACTCCAGTCTCAGGAGGCTCCGGAGGGAGATGAGATACGCGAGTCTTGGGAGGCTCTGGGCGGAGATGGGACACTCCAGTCTCGGGAGGCTCTGGGCGGAGACTGGACACCGGAGTCTTGGGAGGCTCTGGGCGGAGATGGGACACTCCAGTCTCAGGAGGCTCTGGGCGGAGACTGGACACCCGAGTCTTGGGAGGCCCTGGGCGGAGATGGGACACTCCAGTCTCAGGAGGCTCCCGGCGGAGACTGGACACCCGAGTCTTGGGAGGCTCTGGGCGGAGATGGGACACTCCAGTCTCAGGAGGCTCCGGGCGGAGATTAGATACGCGAGTCTTGGCAGGCTCCGGGGAGAGAAGAGACGCTCCATTCTCGGGAGGCTCTGGGCGGAGAGGAGGTACGCGAGTCTTGGGAGGCTCTGGGCGGAGATGAGACACTCCAGTCTCGGGAGGCTCCGGGTGGAGACTGGACACCCGAGTCTTGGGAGGCTCTGGGTGGAGATGGGACACTCCAGTCTCAGGAGGCTCTGGGCCATGAGATACGCCTGTCTTGGGAGGCTCCGGGCAGAGATCAGGCACTCCAGTCACAGGAGGCTCCGGGTGGAGACGAGATACGCTAGTCTTGGGAGGCTCTGGGCAGAGATGACACACTCCAGTCTCAGGAGGCTCCGGGAGGAGATTGGACACTCCAGTCTTGGGAGGCTCCAGGTGGAGACTGAACACCTGAGTCTCGGGAGGCTCCGGGAGGAGACTGGACACTCCAGTCTTGGGAGGCTCCAAGTGGAGACTGGACACCTGAGTCTCAGGAGGCTCTGGGCGGAGATGGGACACTCCAGTCTCAGGAGGCTCCGGGCAGAGACTAGACACTGGAGACTTGGGAGGCTCTGGGTGGAGACAGGACACCCGAGTCTCAGGTGGCCGAGGGGAGAATTCCCTGCAGGGGTATTTACCAGGCTCCATGGGTTCGTCAGTTCTCGTCCCCTGGCCCTCACAAGCGCATGTGTCCTCCAGCTTCCTCTCAGGATCCAGCGGTTTCAGCACCTGTAGTAGGAGATCTGGAGGCATATCTTCTCCCAGATTGTAGTTCATGGCCAAGGGAGGCTTGGCCGTCAGCTGGGCTTCCACTCCCTCTACGAACGTCTTCCGTGCTGGCTTGGCTCGTGAGAGCTTGGAAAACAGGGCCGCTTTCTTGCGCAGCTTTTTCTTCCTGCTTTTGGGGTCAGCTTGGGGACCTCTGAGAGATATTTTGAGGAGTAAAAACTCGTCACAGCGACAAACGAGCGTATCTTCGGGAGACGGACAGCCGTAGCGGAAGTCGTCCATGCCCTGCGTCACAAATACCCGGTTCCGAGGGTCCATGGGCGGGAACCTCAGGCGCCTGTGCTTGCGCTTCGCGAAGCACTTGGAAGGCTGTTTGTCACAGTACCAGGGCTTGGAGTCCATGCCCGGGGACCTCGGCCGGTCCTGCGGCCCCTGGTCCCCCATGGTGGCCCTCGCTGGGGTGCCACCTCTCCAGTTTCCGCGGTTCCTGATCCCTGCCGCTCTAGTCTCTAGGAGACCGCCAGCCACTCGCAGCCCAGGTTCCTTCCTGGAGGCGGGGCAGCGCTGACGCCACCTGCGCAGCCCGGATTCTAACAGGTGTGTAGTGCAATCTCATTCTGGGTTTTATTTGTGTGTCCTAATGACTACTGGTATTGAACATGTCTATATTTGCTTATTTGCCATCCTTATCTCTCCTTGGTTTAAGTTTCTGTTGATTTTTTCCCCCATTTTTAAATTGTGTTGCTGGATATCATATTTAGTTTTGAAAATTCTTGTTCTGTTCTGCATCTAAGTCCGTTATCACCTATATGATTTGCAAATTTTTCTCTTCATCCTTGGCTTTTCCCTTCATTGTCTTAACAGTGTCTATCAAAGAGAAGTTTTTTTTTATTTGATGAAGTCCAATTTATTAATTTGTTCTTTTACAGATTGTACTTCTTTTGATGTATCTGTGAAAACTTTGCTTATCCAAAGGTCACAGAGATTTTTAAAAATTTAAATCTGTTTAAAGTTTTGTAAACAGCACACGATACAGATCAAAGTACTTTTTTTTAAAAAGTGTCTATTGTCTATGTATATCTGGTAATTTCAGAACTATTTTTGTAAAGATTATATTTTCTCCACTGAATTGCCTTTGGAAATTTGTAGAATATCAGCTGTCTATATTTTTTTGTGGGTCAATTTCTTGACACTCTTTTCTCTTCCATATTTTTCTCTCACACAAATTTCACCCTCTGTTGATTACTTTAGCTTTAAAATAAATCTAGAAATTTGGATATATTAGTTCTTTAACAATGTTCATTTACAAAGTTGCTTCTTCGAGGTCCTTTGAATTTCTACAGAAATTTTTAAAATAAGTTTGTCAATGCCTAAAAAAAATTCCGCTGGGATTTTGATTAGGATTCTGTTGAATCTGTAGATCAATTTGCAGGTAATTGACATATTAACAATAGGAGGTCTTCTGACCACTGAAAAAGTACATTTTCCCATTTGTTTATGTGATTTTTAATTTTCTCAGGAATATTTTGTAGTTTTTAGTTCATATGTCTTTTACATTGTTTCTCCCCAGATTTTTCTAAATATTGCTTTTGATACTATTATATGTAGTATATTTAAATTGAAATTTCCAATTTTTTGATGTTAGTATATATAAATATTGAGTTTTGTATGTCCACCTTGTATCATACAGCCTTGGTAAACTCTCTTATTACTTTCAGGAGCATTTTTGTAGAGTTCATTGAATTTTCTATATATATGATAATGTCTTCTGTGAATAAAGACAGTTTCCCTTCTTTCTTTCCAAACTGAGTATCTTCATCCCCTCTGCTCAGCCCAGTTGCAATCCTTGATTTTCCTTTGAATAATATTAGTGAAATTTTTATCTCTCTTATGGTGTTTAAAACTATAACTATGAAAAAGATTTTTTATAAAAAATTTAATTTTAGACAAATTCACCTTGCATTATTCCTTAAGCATATTATTTTCTCATCACATGGTAATTTTTTTCTGTACATTCTTATTCATTTTTAAAAGAAATTTTCTTATTTCCCTTGTTAAGTGCAGCTGAAAATGTTTTCTACCATTACTAACAGGTATGCCTTAGTTCCTCCTTGTAAATAAGGCATGATCAATACCTCTCTTCCCTGTGGCTCCTCCTCTGTAAAATAGACTAATATATATTCCTCTTAGGTTTCTCATTAATGCAAAAAATGGTTTATGTGTAAATCAGGATAATCTATATAACATATATTTTTGTTTTGATTTTGTATCATGTTTGGCGCAGAATAAGCATTCAGTAAAGTATTGTTATTTTATATAGGATTACTACAACTTGAAAATAAAAATATTCTACATTCAGTGCCTAAATAAAGGAGAAGCAGAAATCATACAGATCTATTTATATGTCACAAATATTTTCATTTATCAGTTATAAGAATCTGTTAAACTCTCAACATATTTAGTAGATTTCATAATGCGAAGTTGCTAAGACCATTTTGGTATGGATTTATTTTTAACTTTTTCACTTGGAAAAATTCCATGGAATGTATGTTAAATTCAAGAGCCAATATTTCAACAATTCTCTATAACAGTACTCTAACTAGTAAGCTCATATGAGTTCTCATTTATCTAAAGTGGGTGAGGGTTTGAATAAAACTTCTATATTCTAAATAATCCCAGAGAAAAACACACATTGAAGCTCCTAAAGGTCAACTGGGCATCTCCAAAATTTTTCATGTGGCTGTTCATTAAAAGTTTTTGTACTTTACAGCCACTTCATTTTTTTCATTTTTCAAAGTAGAATATTATACAAAAGATTCATATCCAGAATACATAAATGATTATTAAAACTTAACAGTAAGACAACAGATAACACAAAACAAAATGTATAATACATAGTAGTAGCTTAACTTGTATAGAGATACATAGTTAAAGAAATAAATATAGTTGTGTGCACATATTGGTTAGTATACATGCATATATTTTATAGCTCTGTCTGCTGAGAAACTAGAAAAAAATGACATCCAAGTAGCGAAAAGTACATCCACTGCCCAGATCTTGGTTTCTAAATACAATTATCCAAAATAACAAAAGCAAAATGAGACATCCTTGGAGAAATGAGTAATTCTAGGCCTGCGGCAGTGAAAACATAAGATGAGCCTGGAGTATTATGTGATGACAGAAAATAGGAAGTTCTCAGATAACAAAAGAATAAAAGCAGATCAGGAGCCAAACTGAAAGAGCACTCAATGGCCAAAGTTAAAACAATTTAAGCAACATGAGAATTAAAATTTTAAAATTATAACACAATATAAAATAAAATATCCATGAGTCCATATTGATACAAATGATTGTACAAATAAATAATGAAAAAAAAAGTGCAAATCTGTCTTATGAAGAATTTGAAAAAATATACATAGATACTCCTCCCTCCAGGAGGTGGAATTTAAATGCCCTCCCCAGAGTGTGGGCTGGATTCTAAAAAATAGAATATGGATAGGGAAAAATAGTGACCTTTTAGTGGAGAAGCCTGGCAGTTCTCTCCTTAATCAAGTGATGAATGTTAATATCAGCAGTGAGACGTCACATTGGTATCATGCACTACTCTGATAGGATGTGATGAGAAAGACACTTCACCTCTGTAGTATTCTTCTCTAAATTCCAGAATCCTAGTCTACTGAGGAGAAAACATCTAACAAACCCAAGTCCAGGGACATCTTACAAAATTCTCAAGTGTTCCTCAAAATTATAAAGGTCATGGGAAACAATTAAAGGCAGAGAACTGGACATAGACTTTAGATTAAAGAGACATGAAAACTAAATTCAATGTGGTAGGCCGAGCTGTATCCTGACACTGAAGAGGACATGGGTATAAAAAAATCTACAAATCTGAATAAAGTCTGAAGTTTAGTTAATAGTAATATGTCAATGTTAATTTTTTAGTTTAAATGCATGTACCATGTAAGATATTAATTTTAGGGGAAGCTGGGTAAAATGTGCATGAAAATGCTCTGTACAGTCTTTGCAATTGGTTCATAAATCAAAAATTATTCTAAAATAAAAGATTTCCAATTTAAACTATATATTGCATCATGATAAATTATCAGCAAATCACTACTAACCATATAAGAGGGAAAGCTGTAGCTTCTTTAAAATGCATACTTGTGGCCCCTCTGTCCCCATATACAGTAAATCATAATTTTTTTGAAGTGGAGCCAGTCATCTACATTTTACATGGTCTCTAAGTTATACACACCAATAGGTGAAAATTACTTTTCTAAAGCCCTGTGCCTTTTATAGGCCCCGAAGACTTTCAAAGAGTTTAAAAACCACAGTAGTTATGGTATTATCCAAAGTCACCAAATTTGGAGAAAATTAAATTTCAGCAAGTGCTATATGGGAATGTAAAAATCAGATAGTGGAGCCCGTGGACAAAATAATTCACTTAGATGACATGTACATAACTGGTGGGCCCACAGGATAATGAAGTCATGATAGAAGAGTAAAGAAGATACAAAGTTTGGTGAGTACCTGACTGGCAGTGAAAAAAAAAACTAGGAGTGAAAGCAACTTACTTGTGTAAACAGCACTTCTTGGGTTAAAGAAAACTGACATCACTATAGAGTACAGAGAAATTACAACTGGCCTGTTCAATCAACAAGCAACAACCGCCTTAGTATGAAGTGTTACTCCAGAAATGAATAATGCAGCTGACAAGCAAAACCAACACCAACAAGCTAATAAATAAATGTTCAAGGAAGTCAAAATGCTCTGAGTAGAGCAGCATAAAATGAATAAGTATATAAGAAAATTAAAATAAACAATGAAAATCCATGTGATGAAGTGCATTGGTTTAATGGAGCCTTAAGTAGTCCCAGTTCTGACATCTTTGTGTGCCTCTGACTGCTCTTAGGTAGTTACAACCTTTACTGCAGACTTAACTCAGGACACAATTTTCACCCTCCAGCAGACTCACATTATCTGCAGCCTTGCTGCCTCTTCCACCCACATGCGGCACCTGCCAGCCTTTTTCAGATACCCAATCATTTTCATTCTGATCCAACCCACTTTGGAATTCTTTTGCTTTTATTAGCTCTTGGTAAGTTTACTTTCTGGGATGGTTAATTTTCTGTGTCAACTTGGCTAGGCTATGGTGCCCAATTATTCGGTCAAACAGTCTAGATGTTGCTGTGGAGAGATTTTTAAGTTGTCATTTAACATTTTATATCAGTAGACTTTGAGTAAATCAGATTTACCTTCCATAGGATGGGTGAGCATCATCCAATCAGTTGAAGGCCTTCAAGAAAAAGACAGAAGTTCCCCCTAGAAGACGGATCTGTTTCAGTTTCCAGCCATTAGAATCAAGACTACAACATCAACTTTTGCCTGAATTTCTAACCTGCAACCAGGTCTGCAGATTTTGGATTTGCCCACCCCCACAGTTGCATAAACCAATAAAATTTCTCCCTCTCTCTCCGTCTCTCTCTCTCTCTCTCTCTCTCTCTCCATATATATATATATGTATATATATATATACCTCCACAGCAACATCTAGACTGCTGATAATTTATCACG